GTCCAAAAAGACATTAAATATAATCTTAAAATCTCTGGCTTGTTTTTTCTACCCAAATGCTGGGCTGAGCCAGTCGGGTCGCTGTGTTGGGTTATTTCCCATCAGAAAGCAAAACCATCAGGTTGTATCCCTGATCAGAGGTGTAGCCAAGGGGTAGCCAGGGGGGTCCAGTGCCTCCCTAGCATGAAACACAGCCACCCCATTGAGACAGTCACAAGGATGAGTGGTATTGGGGTTGATGGGGTGAGGACGGCCTTGTTTATTTTTTCCTTCTCTTAGTATTTTTATTTTGTGTGCTCTAGTTACTCATCGATCCTATCTGCAAAATAGTCATACACTTTTTTTGGTTGGTTGAAAGGCTTCTCATCAACCAGAATCTGTAACTTTCATAAAATATAGACATTTTACTATTTACTTTTCAGTGAAACCAACAAAGTAGGTGTTTTATTTTGAGAAAATAAAATATAAACTATGTTTTTCTAGTTGTGATGTGAAACTGATAAGATTAACTTAGCTTAGCTAACTAACTAACTCGCTAATAACGTCTCACAGGAGGGTCTCTGGAAGTTTTAGCCGTTTATATAACATTTTTCAACATTCACAGCTGAATATTAGGTCAACATTAAGTAAACTTTATCTGTGTAATAATGTACTATGTGTGGTTAACGTTGTCCTGCCATGTCCTGCCATCTAAATTACATGGCTAACATAGCTAACCTAGCAGACTTGGTCTGAATATACTTTATATCACCGCTCGTCTCTCAGGGTGGTACATTACTTTTGAATAAGGTGTTTTTGAGCGCTAAATGTTCATCCTGTGCATCTTTTTCTCAATTTTTTCAGTTTTTCTTTTATAGATTGGAGCGAACATGCCAGAATATCTGCAGCAAACTGAGAATAAGCTTGAATATTAAGACAGATTTCATCTTCATTGTTTAATTGTTTAATTGTTTGACATTACTGAGCAATATTTTAATGATTTTTTTTGTTCATATTGCTAAGTTGTAGATAATAATGTAAAATGTAAAAAATGAAAATGAAAAACAAGCAAACAAACATATCAGACAGTAACAGGGTTAAAATGAAGCAGTGCTGGGTCACATTTCAGAGTAACTTTAATAACCCAACCTGTTGGGTTGTTCACATAATCCAGCACTGCTGGGTCACTTTAACCCAGCGTGTGTTCTGTTATGTAGTGACCCAGTTCTGGGTTACGCATATGACCTAAATCGGGTTGTTTTTAACGCAGCATTATTTTCAGTGCCAATTATTAATTTTTCAACATCAGGAAAAAAATGAGAAAACACATTTTACTGGAAATTACACAGAATCATCAAAAACTAATAGAACACTAAGTTTATTAGTATTTAATGTGTCCACCTTTTGCCTTTATTACAGCACGTGTCCCTTTTTTGAGGTCCCTGCTTTCATTTTTCAAAGAAATCTATAGGGATATTTTTCCACACCTCCAAAGTTCAGTCTTAGAAGTTGGTTGAATTTTCTGCTTCTCACGGTCCAAGTGATCCAAAACACATTCAATGATGTTGGACTGGTCAGTCCATTGTTCTGAATGCACCAGCAGCTTCTTTGCTTAATTTGCAAGTGTTCTTCTTTTCCTTTTCTCAGTAATGTCTTTTTGACAGCTACACATCCTTTCAGACCCATAGCACTGAGTTGTCTTCTCACGGTGGAAGGATGGACAGAAACACCTGTGGATGTTTTCAGATCTGAAGCAGCTTGATTTTCTCCTCTCTCTCAAAGATGAAAGCTCCGTTTATCTGATGGGCACAGTTTTGGTGGTCTTCCAGGTCTTGCGGGTGGTTGTTATTATCTCTCAAACCTCTCTGGAAACTTCTTTGTCTACTTTCCCCTTCTTCACAACTCCATGTTCTCTTGTGCACTGACCCTTCACAGAAGGACGCTGTAAGGCTTCTCTTTTTGGGTTTATGGTTTATCTACGTCCACCATTAACCCCGTCAGCAGGTAGGTCATGGAACAACATGATCCGAGCTCCATGAGTAAATGGAAAAGATGGAATCACCCTTAACGTGGGCTTGCGGGTGTGTGCGTCCATATAGGTTCTCGCCTGAAGTTAACCTAAAAACGTAGATTTAGAACTATAACAGCAAGGATTAGTGCGTCACCGAATGATTGAGAGAAATGGGGGGGTTTAACTGCGCATCTCGTGTGAGACGAAGGCTGAGCGTGTTTTCTGATGAGGCAAGAAAGAGGATCCACACACACACATGGATGCTATGCGAGGCGCCCAGTGGCTAATAAACACAGTCCTCTCCTGGGAGAACGGCAGCGAAGGCTGCCTAGAAACACATTCTATGCTTATTCTAAGTGAATATCATAAAGCAGCGTTTGATATGACAGCTTCCTGCCACTGAAACTGAGCACATCACAGCCATTACATTCTACCTTTCTGTCCATAACTCAGAATAACAACTGTATGCAAAAGTTAAGGCACCCCTGGTCAACTGATATTTAATGCTCCATTACTCTTTATTAGCTACGGTTATTGGCACCTTTTATATCTTATGTTTTTTTTTTTTAATGTTAAGCTTTGCAAATAAATAGCTATTGAGCACTAAAATCAGCAGAGAAATGCCATATTTAAGTTTGGTCCCTGTAGAGGATGTGTGGACTTATTTTTGCATAGGGAATCCAAACATGTTGCTTGACCAGAGGGCACCAAAACTTTTGCACACAACTGCATATCAAGCCAAATTAACAACAGAACTGTCAATGAACCTGAAAGCGACAGTTTGACAAAAGATCTACTTTCTCCATACCCTCCTTACACATCAGCTTACACAATTTAGTTTTTGCGCTACAAGCTAAAAAGTAATGGAAGTCTATGACCACCAATTAGCATCGTGCAAAATACACGCTGAAATCAACACACCACTCTGGCCTCAAACCGTGTCGGGTGGCTCAGTAATGTCAAATAGACTTGCTTATGCAGTTTCTGTGGCTGTAAACATACTGTTATCTCCGAAAATGGACATTACAGACAAAACCCATGCTTCAAATTAACTGCTATTGGTTCTAGATATGTCCTTTTACAGATAACCGTATGTCATAGTTTTAGAAACTACATACGGAAGTCTATTGCTTTGAAAGCTGATCCACCAAATTACAATTCGATGAGGTTCTCCAAACATAGCTGGTATTACGCACTTGTGCAAATGTATACTGATGCCTTCGACACTGAGCACTTTGACGCACGAAAGCGATGGAAGCAAACAAGTCTCTCTCGTACTTGACCTTGAGCGAGTGCCCATTTGAATCGAAGTCTCTGTCTTTTACGCACGTTAGTCCACAGGGCTGCACAGAAAACCATCATTAACATCATTCCCCCAGACTTCAAATGTCTCCCGCAGAGCAGCCTCAGCTCTAATATAATTCAGCACTGCTGTTTGTGTGTTTTCTGCCTGAACTGATTAACAGACGCTTTCCGTCAAATAAAGCAAGAGAAATGTGACTGTGATGAGTGAGAGGAAGGCGCAGCCCTCGGTCAGTGCATGTGTTGACACACGGCGTAACAGTGTAGAAGGATGCAAAAGACCAAAATGATCTTTAATCTGTTACAGATAAAAGATGCAAAGGAGCAAAATGGTCTTTACACCTAAAGGACGCAAAGAAGCCAAACTGTCTTTTAACGTTTACAGGTGCAGGATGCAAGGAAATGGTCTTTTAACAATTAAGAATGCAAAGGACTAAAATGTTCATTAAATGCTTACGGGTAAAGCATACAAATGACCAAAATGGCCTTTGAACTATTACAGCTAAAAAATGTAAAGAGTTTCTATACTTTAACAGGTAAAGGATGTAAAAAAAAATATTTTAACGTTTACAGTTACAGGGTGCAAAAGAAGGAAATGGTCTTTTAACAATTTAGGTAATGCAAAAAACTCAAATAGTCATTATGACAAAAATGATCTTTCAACTATTACAGCTAAAGGACGCAAAAGACTAAAATGTTTTTAAATTTTTACTGGTAAAGATTGTAAAAGACCAAAATGGTCTTTAACCTTTCAGAGGTTAAGAATGCTAAAGACTAAAATGGTCATTAAATGTTTACAGGTAAAACAGGCAAATTACCAATACGGTCTTTAAACTTTTTGGGTAGAGCATGCTAAGACTAAAATTGTCTTTAAACGTTCACCAGTAAAGAATGCAAATGACCAAATGGCCTTTTAATGCTTACAGCTAAAAGTTGCAAATGACCAATACGGTTTTTCAGGTAAAGATGCAGAAGACCAAAAGGATATTTAAACTTTTACATGAGAAGGTTGCAAAAGACCAAAAGTCCTTTAAACTTTTTGGCTAAATCATGCTAAAGTCTAAAATTGTCCTTAAACCTTTACAGGTGATGAATGCAAATGACCTAAAAGGTCTTTAAACATTTTGAGGTAAAGGATACAAATGACCAAAAGGGTCTTTAAAAACGTAGAGGTACAGAATAAAGTGAGTCAAATCATACATGTTGGATACAAAGGAGCCGACTGTCTTTAGACATTTACAGGTAAAGGATGCCCAAAACCCCAAATGGCCTTTAAAGGTTTTAGAAGAAAAGCATCCAATAGAGCCAAATAGGTGTTGGTACGCAAAACAACCCAATAATCTTTGCATATTTACAGGTAAAAATGCAGATGACTCAAATGGATCTTTACACATTGAAAGGTAAAGTGCGCAAAAGAACCTTTTGTCTTCAAGTGTTTACTGGTAAAGGATGCGAAGGGGCACAATGGGTTTTTACACATTTCCAAGAAAAGGAAACAAAAGACACATAACAAGTAAAGGATGCTGAGGACGCAAGTGGGGCTCGGCATGTTTACAGGTGATGGACGCAGAGCAGCCAAATGGGTCTTTATGCGTTTTGCAGGCACCTTAATGCGTAACTGGACCTTCGTTAGCATGCAGCAGATGGAGAAGTGACACAGAGACGCGTGAAAATGTATCTGAGCTCCTGAGGGGAGTGTAAAGGTGGGGGAGGAGGTGAGTGGAGGTGGGAGGAGATGGGAGGAGATGGGAGGAGGTGGGCAATCCTATTGGTCCACATAAAAGAGTTTATTCTGATGCCGGTGGGTGACAGGACGTGGGCAGCTGAAATAAAAAGAAAGAAGAGGCTGTAAGTGAGGAGGAGAGCGCAGAGCGCATGGCTGCACGGTGACTCGGTCTGGGAGACCCATCCGCTCAAGAAGACGCAAGATTTCTCCAACAAAGTCATTTAACACCCGGAGCACACGGACTGTGACAAGGTAACGCTCTGTTTCATACTGGGATTATTTTACTGTTCTGTACTTTTTGATCATAATAATAACAATAATAATAATATCAAGAACATCATAATGACTGTAGTATTTATAATAACAGGCATTGCATTAAAAGTACATGTTCTTACACTCTTGAAAAAGACAGCTCTTCAAAGGTTCTTTAGTAAAGGAAATGGTTCTATTTAGAACCATGAGTTCTATATAGAACCTTTTTATGGCAAAATGGTTCTTCTGATTGATGGATAATGTGTGTTTATGGTTCTACACACTTAAAAAAGATGGTTCTTCGAGTGTTTTTAGTAAAAAGAATTGTTCTATATAGAACCATGCACACTCAAAGAACCTTTTGCATGATTAAAGGGTTCTTTGCATCATTAAAAATGTTCTTCAGATTGATGTAGAATGTTCTGCAGATGGATTTATATAGAACCTTTTTGAAGAGGGTTCTAAATAGCACAGAAAATGTTTTTTGTCAAGCTTGTAACAATAGAAGATCCCTTTTGGGTGCTATATAGAACGATTTTCAAAAAGGTTCTGCATAGAACCATCTGTAGCACATTTATGAACATTTCCCATCAGTCTGAAGAACACTTTAATTGTGCCAAAGGTTCTTTGAGTGTGCATGGTTCTACATAGAACAATTTTCTTTGCTAAAGAACCTTTGAAGAACCTCCTTTTTTTAAGAGTGTATCTGGAACCTTTTTAAAAAAACATTCTATATAGCCCCAAAAAGGTTCTTCTATTGCTACAAACTTGACATCATAAGAATAGCAGAACCTTTTTTGGTGCTAAACAGAACTATATACAGCACAATCTGTAGAACCTTTTTACCGTACAAAAAACCATTTAAACATGAAGTGGGTCTACATAGAACTCACACTTCTAAACAGAATCATTCCCTTTACTAAAGAACCCCTGAAGAACAGTCCTTTTTAAGAGTGTGCCCTGACTTCACTTAGAGGGAAGACCAACCGAGTCAGAGTCTGAGAGGAAGAAGGAGAACTGAAGCCCTCTGTTCTGCTCCTCTCGTGTTTGTCTCTGACTGCAGGAGCTCCGGTGGAGAATGGAGTGGTATGTGCTGGTGCTGGTGCTGAGTTTGCCGTCTCTGTCCCAGGCTGGTTGCTCTGAGCAGTGTCTCAGATGCGTTCAACAGATTTCAGATCAAAACTCTCAAATCTCAGAGCTGAACTCGCCGCTCAGTCGCCTGGTAAGCCTGCGTTTTGTGTTGACACCCACCTGTAGCTCACCCTCTCCCTTCTCTTCAGAGACCACGGACTGTCCGAGATGAGAAAAGCGTATGAGGAATTTGAGGATTAGCCTTAGACATTTTCTATATTCATTCATCTATTTATGTATTCATTCATTCATGCAAGCAAGCCTACAAGGTCATTTACTGCACAGCATCTGTGACTGCAGTCAGTCGTAGAGCGTTTCAGCACCGCGGACAGCGCAGCTCAGTGCCCTACTTCACATTTCTGTCCTTGAAACCACTGATTAAGGCGATCCGCACGTTTCACCACTGCCAGCTCAAAGAAATTCTTTCCAAACGTGCTTATTTATGTAAATATGTTAATTAAAATCACCCCATTATGGTTAGAATATTCCATTAGAACCATTAGGTTTCAAATCTGATCAGAGAAACCCATTAAACCAGTAAACTGCTGTCAGTCACAGCTCACCTGTTAAACCATCAGAATCCTTTACACTGTCATAACAAACTACACTACCAGGAACCACAGAGAACCTTTAACAGGTCCTGATTTGGTTATTTATTTTTGGTTTATTTTGTTTTTGTTTATTTAGTAAAGAAAATGCTTCTTTATAGCATCCAAAAGGGTTTTTCTGTTGTTACCATGTCAGGCTTTCAACAATAGCAGAACCCTTTTTGGTGCTATAGAGAACCGTTTTCTAAAAGGTTCTATATAAAACCATCCACAGCACATTCTCCATCAATCTGAAGAACGCTTTCAGGATGCAAAGAACCCTTTACTCGGAGTGTTCATGGTTCTATATAGAACCGTTTTCTTTACTAAAGAACCCTTGAAGAACCATCCTTTTTAAGAGTGTAGTTAAAAACTAATTCCTGTTTTTTTTCAGACATTCCCATCCAAAGCAAAGAAGATATATGCCCAAAAATATCTTCTTTGCTTTGTTGGATTTTGGTTAAAATAGTTTAAAAGTAATTTCCATCCGTCCACACAAAGGCATAATAATAAAGGCTCAACATCACTAAACAGCTACTAGCCTCCACTCTCTTAAAAAAAGATGGTTCTTCAAGGGTTCTTTAGTAAAGGCAATGGTTTTATTTAGAACCATAAGTTTATACAGAATAATTTGTATGCTTAAATGGTTCTTTGCATGGTGAAATTGTTCTTCAGATTGATGGGGAATGTGTTGTATATCGTTCTATATAGAACCTCTTTGAAAATGGTTCTATATAGCACCAAACAGGGGTCTTCTATTGTTACCAGCATGACATTGTAACAGTAGAGGAACACTTTTGGTGCTGTATAGAACCTATTAAGCATGAAATGGTTCTATATAGAATTCATGGTTCTACATAGAGCCACTGAAGAACCCTCTTTAAGAGCGTACAGCGGGGCCACAACATTTCACACCAGAAGTAAAACATTTCCTCGCAGAAGCCTCTTTAAGTGATGTTAAAAGTGAGGGGAAGTTTTGAACTACAAACATGGCGGAGACTCGAGTTTTTTGTTTTTGTTTTTGTTTTTCTGCTACGTGACTAAAGCAGGAGGAAGTCGGGGAGCCGAACGTCCTGTTCATTATTTATTAGCCTCTCTATCAGCGCGTTTCTTCAGCGCCGCAGCGGGGAATTCTCGATAACTACATGCGCAATGCATGCTGGGTGTTGTAGTGCACTGAGAACACTGGTCGAAAACGCCAAAACAATTCGGCGTCGCGAGTTCTGTCAGATCGCTGAAGCTGACGGGCGCAACGCTGCGCTGCACGACAAACAGCACAACAGATGCTGGCTTTAGGTCGAGGCGACCCCTCACAAAGGCAGAATATTAAAGGGCAAGTCCACTGATTTTTCCACATTTCTGCATAAGTAGATGGTTGAGATGTAAACAGAGTCATTCAGAGTAGTTTGGTGTCAGAATCGTTCACAGTGGTGGTGATAGGAACCAGACGTCCACCTCTAAAAGCTCCCTCACAGAAAGTTATTACATTAAGTGGTTATGATTCCGTTCCTTACTGACCGAGACACTGTTTTGCGATCAGGTTTTGGCTTAAAACATATTTTGTTTAATCCATTCATGGAGGAGGGATACATGCTGGGCGCTGTGAGGCAAAACAAGACACGCGTAGGTTCACTGGTGGCTTTATGAAGCAAATAAAATGTGTGTTGTAGACATTGTGACCCCTGGTTCCTATCACCACCACTGTAAAGCAATCTGAGTCTACAATGAACCGTTTCGCATCAAACTACTCTGAACGACAATGACTTTACACCGCAACGACTGAACCATGCAGAAATTTTGAAAAGTCGGTGGAGTTCCCCTCCAAATACGTTGTTGGTGAAGTTTTGCAATGAACCATTTCACATCAAACCATTCTGAGTGACTTTGTTTACATCTCAACGACTGAACTATGCAGAAATTTTGAAAAACCGGTGGAGTTCCCCTTTAAATACTTTGTTAGTAAATCTCTTCAATGAACCATTTCACATCAAACCACTCTGAGTGACTGTTTACTTCTCAACGATTGAACTATGCAGAAATTTTGAAAAGTCGGTGGAGTTCCCCTTTAAACAAAGCTGCTCTCCCCCCCTGATTTCTGTGCAGGCTTGTGCTGCGGAGTGTGAAGGAGCTCTCCAGCCGGAGGAGTGCGAGGAGGCTCTGCAGGTCCTCTCAGACGACCTGAAGGAGACCAGGCCGGGAGGAGAGGCGGAGGAGGAGGGCGAGGAAGAGGAGGACGAAGATGAAGACGCGGAGCTGAACTTGGTGAAGCGCTACGGAGGGTTCATCAAGAGAATCGAGAAGAACAAGAACAAGCTGTGGCCGTGGAGGGAGAACGGCGTGCAGAAAGGGCTGACAGAGGAGCAGCAGAGGGAGCCGCTCTTAAAGCTGCTGCTGAGAAACAACCTCGACAAGGGAGATTACGGGCGGCTGGAGAAGCGCTACGGCGGCTTCAGGAGGAAATTCGGGCCGAAGAGGAGGAGCGGCGGCCCGCCGCTGGACGAGGAGGCCAGCCAGGAGCAGCAGCAGGAGCTCCAGAAGAGGTACGGCGGCTTCATGAGGAGAATCCGCCCCAAGTTAAAGTGGGACAACCAGAAGAGATACGGGGGCTTTTTACGGCGCCATTTCAAAATCTCAGTCAGATCCGAGGAGGAGCCGCCTTCGCTCCAAGACCAGTTTGGGCTCTTAAAGTGAAGTCGATGTGAACACAAACTCACACTGCCCCCCCCTAAAAAGAACTCATAGCGTCCCAAAACCTCGCTGCTAACATGGAGCCAACCCCCCTCATATCCTCTGTACAGTCCTGTTGTTGTTAGCAAACAATACGAGGCTGAAGTCGGCCTCTCGGTCGAACATTCCGTTCCACCTTAAATTTAAGGTGGAACGGAAAGTTCGACCGAGAGGCCGACTTCAGTAACGTTAGGCTACACGCTGCAGTCAGTGCTTGTTTAAAACTCAATAAAAGGGCGAGCTTTGTTTGCCGAAACTCGCAACGTAAAGATGTTTTTTTTGAGTCAGTCACATTTTTAAAACTATTATTGTATTAAACGTTGACATAAACAGTCTCCATGGTAACAAGAGCGGCGCTTTTTTCGTGCCGCTGCCGCTTGAGTTTTTCAGTTTGGTCCAACAGCGCCGCCCAGCGTCCGAGACCGGGAAACGCAACTGCAACATGCATTTAAACTAAACCTGCTCTCAGTGATCTCATATTTATTTGCTACAGAACAATAAAGCTTCACGTTTTAATAGGACGTGCGTTGTAAAATGTTATTTTTAGAGTGGTCTAGTTGATATTAATGTCGCAGTAGTGCGGTGTCTAAACTGTTATTGGGTGTTCAGTTTATAAAAATGCACAAATTAAAATACTCAAAATAGTCGCACTGAATAAGATTTCTGGGGTGGATTTTCTAGGGTTAGTGGATAATTATTTTGCTATTTCACGGTTTTAGGTGTTGTGTGGTGTTTAAACAGTTATTTAATAGTGAGTACTGAGTGTTTTGTTTGGACACCAACATGTAAAAAAGTGCAAATCTCCACATTTGCTTAAAAATACAGGACAACTTGTTACCGAGCGTCAGAAGTGGGTGCAAAGTTTTGGGCATTAACCAGATTTGATATGGGAATTCATTTTTGAGGCAGATTTTAGTGTGATGACATCACCATAAAGCATTTTTAGTTAATAAAAACAAGACCAGAACACTGAAAAATGCTACTACCTCAGTTTTAGTGCTCACACTTCCGCACTTGAAAAATTAGATGGCAAAAAAGTCTTGATATAAAGCAGAAGCAGAAAAAAAAACATTAAAAAACCTTGACATGATGCTATTAAAAGCTGGAATAATCAACTAGAATTCACCATAATTATAGCCGGGCACAGTTTGAGCAGTGGAATTTGAACAATTGTTTAACTATATATAATAAACATAAATAAAAAGTTGAACATGTACTCAAGCTGACTATGAACAATTAAAAAGTAACTACTAAAAAAATACTAAAAATACATAGTGTACCACAACCAAGACCAGCCCAGAATCAAACTGAAATACTGAGCGTCCTCCCATAAGCCCTCATTCTCCTGGTTATAAAATAAGAGTATCAGGACCTGCCTTACAATCAGGCAGTGATTCTCCTCAAATTGACAATACACACCTACACACAGCCTGCTGTTTTCACCTACAGTGGTTTGCTGATGTAAGAAGATTAAGATTAGAATTCAGGGAATGAATTAGAGGGAAAAAAGCGATGTATAATGTCTTGCAGTCCCACTATTTTTTTCACAGCCATTTTTTTAGATTGCAGACTGAAATGCTTGATTTTGCTGCAGCATTTTTAGAAAATCTGCAGCAAGAGTTTTACTTTTTTTGTAAAAATAAAAATGGGCTTGCAAAGAAGAAATTTGAGACTGAAGTCTGATATTGAATTTGTTTAAATGTAGCCTAATTTGTCAAAATAAGTGAACCTCTGAAAACCAAGAACAGATTCAAGATATAAAAACATGACAGGTTTTAGTCCCTAAGAGTTTTATATCAAAATGATGTCATGTAAATTCGCTACAACCATAAATCCACATGTACACTCACTAAAGAACCGCAGGAATATTCAGGAAATCTGAGACTCTGAAGTAATATGAACGCAGTTACAGCACACAAAAGGCACAGAACAGCGTCACACAGACGTGCAGAATCACGATAGTTGTGGCCACCTTAGCTTTGATATCAGAAGTGTACGCTGTATCTGGCTTCCAGGCCCAGAGCACAGCAGCTGCACACTTCACTCTGAAAGCAATTCACATGTTTATCGCAGAAAATGTACCGTGATCAGACAAGCTCTGGCAGATACAGTCAGTCAGCTTGAATCGGCGTGAATTCTTGAATTCCCGGAGGGTCTGATCTTTTTAATTTTGCCTTTTCACACCTGCAGTGAAAGAAAAAGGCTTTAGGCGAGATTCACAGAGCATCACGTCCCCAAAATGAACTGAAACTGGACCACAACTAAGAGCATTGTGTGCCTTGACTTTTCATGATGTTCCTTTATGAGAGGAAATCGATCAAACAATTTTATACCATCAATAACTCAAAATGTACAAGGCACAGCCAGCAGAGTGGCACCTCCTTTTATGTTAAACAATATTAACAGGTGTTTACACAAGAACACTGTGCACAGCAGATCATCTCAGAAGACGTTTCTGTAGCTTTTGAATCTGACATAAACAAATGGGCTCAATGTCATTGTGAAAAATATGTTTGTAAGAAAACATTATATTGGCAGATCCAAGAGCGCAACTCTCCTCTCGCTCTCTCTGGGTCGGTCGACTGGTCCTCACTCCTCTCCCCTCATCACTTACGTGGTGCTAGCCAGTGCAGGCGTCTGTTAGCAGTTAGCATTCACCTCCAAGAACGTTAAGCTGTCCAATGAATTTATGTTTGCAGCAGTTTGAAAAGCTTTGCTGGCGCTTCATGTGATTCTGAGGATACACAAGTGGTCATGTTTCCAGCTTAGGAACATCGGGGGATGGAGAAACTAACTAGCAGGCGGAGCTGGCAGTGACTTCATTGGGACAAAAATGAGAAAGAAAGCTCTGTGGGGTCCAAAAGTCTGAGACCACTAGAGAGAAGGCTTTTATTTTGCATTTCTTTATGATTTCATAGAAATTATTACAAATTCTATTATCAGAGTAACAGTTTGAACGAAAAGGACAAATTTAACATGAACGGAAACGGAAAGGAAATTTTAACATGAACTTCAGAATTTCTTAGTATTTGATATGTATAGATTATTTATGTACTTTTGGTACGAAGGGTCAATTTCAGAAATTGCTTAAATTTGAATGGTGACCTAGAAATTGTCACATATGTCAAATATCTTGAATATTTCTTCATTTTACTCATCATAACTTTATTTTTTTTTTCTAAAATATTCTGTTTATTTGCAAGATGGTCTTAGACTTCTGAACCCCACTGTATATATACTGTATATCGCTGTTGTCAGAAGAAAACCTTGTATCTCCAAAATGGTAACTTTACAGTAAAAGGAAAAAACTACTTTACTTTTAATGTAAGTCAGTGGAATTAGACGTTATTACCAAGTCATTTTCAGCCGTTTCTTTTGGTCCATTCTTCATGAAATTTACACACAATATAAACGGCAAGAGGCATTTTCAAATTATGAAAATTATGGAAAAAACTGAAAAACGACAAAAATGGAGATATGGGTTTTCTTCCGACAGCAGCGATATATGTACAATCAATAAAAAAGTTTGGTTTTGATCCATTCACATGAAATACAATCTAAAGTGCAGCTGTTTTTTTTAAAAAAGCATTTTAAACAAAGAGTTTATTTGGGAACAAAAACATTCCAGAAACAATGACGGACTGTGCAGACTGACGAGTTCAAGTTTGTTAGAAGCGCTTTCATAGAATCGTTTTATCAGTCCCAGCAAACTGTAAGCAGTGTGAGATTTCTTCTATATCTGCATCTCAATGTTCTCAATGTTACACTAAAAAACATTTTCTCATTATGGATATTGATTCTTCTTAGTTGGAATATCACCTCTACTTTAACGGACTCTCACTGCTTGTCTCCGGGCTGCTCTTCTGAGTTCTCTGCTGTCTCTTCTGCTTGAGCCCCTACAGTCTCTACTGCAGCTGCACTCACAGGCAGCGCCACTACAGTGCTGCCTGCAGCTCCCCCTGCTGGTGCGGCCAGGTTCTGCAGCGTAGGCAGAGTGACCAGCTGAAAGGGGCTGACCACTTTAACAATGGCAGGTCCCCCTGGCCCCTCCTGAACCGCAGCGGAGCTCAGGACAGTCAGGTTGGAGTCAGGCTGCAGTTCTGTCCCACCTGGGGACGTTAGCACTGTGTAGCCACCGAACAGGGGCGTCTGTGCTGGGACAGGGGTCCCGACGGCTGACAGGATTTTATCCAGAGGGAATCCTGTGAGCTGAGTGACGGGCAGAGTAAACTGGGTGGGCAGAGCTGCTGTGACAGAGGCGGGGCCAGAGACAGCCCGGGTCAGGCGGGGTCGTTTGGAAGACGGCGGCGTGGCCACGGGGGTCAGGGTCATGAGGACGTTGTTGAGGTGCTGAGATTTGCTCTTCAGTTCCTTCGCACGTTTGCGGTGCTCATCGCACTGCTGCTCCAGAGCTACAAGGACCAGCACACATACATCCAAACACAGACAGACATTCACATTCATACATAGACATAAAGACAATAATCAAGTAGAATTCCAAGCCTTGTTATTATAAAAACACACTACAAGTATAATTACGGATTTCTGTTCGTTTTTGAGGTCTCTCAGTTTTGGCACTATGGAAACGTCCTACAGAAAGAGGTTACTGCTATTTTACTATGTTCTTTTCATGCTACTGTCGCAGAGATGACATAAGCAGACAAAAGAACAAGGTGTTAATAATGACATTCTCAAAAGTTAACAAGCACGCTATTCTTAAATAAACACGAAAACAGCCACTTGTAATATCTGCAGCAGCAGTTTCAATTATTTTGTCAAAACATGGTTAAAGGTTTGTGAAGGGTTTTATGGCCACAATGATCTAAAAAAGCATGTTGGCCTCGACAATGCGCGTCCATGAATTTTGGGGGTTGGAGCTTCTGAGGGAGCACTGAAGGGAGGGGTGCATTTGTTTTGGTGTTGAGTTCAAATATCAACAATTGTTTTCCCAGAATCGTATAGTGCCCCTTTCAAGGTGTGTCAAACAGTGCACTTGGTAAAAATGAAGGGGTAGAATTTTAAAATTAATTAGCAGTTTTAAAATATATTACATAAACATGGTTTTACTACCTTTAATGTAGCCTTCTTGAAAAGCACACACTGTAATATCTTAATAAATACAAATGGATAAGGGGATCTGATCTGCATTGTCAGATAATCAATTTTAAAGAGAGTCGGATTGGGATAGGGGTCAAATAATGGATTAGGACATTCTTAAATATAATTAAGGAATTCTCATCATATAATACTCGCCAACTAAGCTCCGGGTGTACTGTTCCCTGCAGCGATCCATTTCGCTCTTGTGGCTGGCCAGAACCTTCTTCACCAGATCCAGCATGCCCAAAGTTCTGCACAATGTTGTTGAGCAAAGCAGCATCTATGAAGGACAGAAAACAAGGGATTAAGTTAAAAAAAGGCTCAGACAATGGTGCATTTGTAGCACACAAGTCCCAACTGCACAAGCTTATTTTCTCAACATTTCTGTAAGTAACATGTTCGAAAAAAGAGAGAGCAGTGACTAAGGAGGTGAAGCCCACTGACCTTTGACCTGCAGTGGGGATTCTTGGATACGTTCATGCATGCCTTTGAGGATTTCCTCAATCTCTTTCTGCAGATCCTCCATGATGTCATCCAGCAACCCCATGTCCTTCAGACCTCTCCAGAATGTCATGGTGTCCTCTGAGAAACGAAAGAAGCTGAGAGCTTATGGGATCTTTCCATCTCATAAAGTTATTGTTCTAGATGTGCTCAGTAAAGGCTTTTCTAATCACTGTCCTTTTCTTGACATTATCGGTTTAAACCAGTCGAATCCGAGATGAAAGTTCAACTCAAAAAAACAACCAGAACACCTAAACTGTGTAATCCAAAAATCTAAGTATTTACCTTAAAGAGGATCAATTATTTAGTAACCCTTTACACGTGAAAGTAATTTCATAAAATAAATATCAGATATATAAATCTAAATAAAAATATGATTTTAATAAAACTAATATTATTGCAATAACTATTATTTATTATACCTTGGCTCATATCCAAATATCCTAGTGCAAAATCACACTCACCCCCTATAGCCGTAACCCATTCTGTACTGTCATCTTCTGTAGAGAATGTAGCTGGAGATCCATTGACTGCAACAGCACAAAACACAGTACAATTAGCAATATCTAAATACATGTTCACAGTTTAGTTTTAAATAATGCTACTGTGAATACCTCAGCATTTAACTCTATTGTTTTAAGCTATATGAAACACTATTATGCAAGAGACAATGAACTAGACTGCCTTTACACAGAGACAATGAACTAGACTGCCTTTACACAGAGACAATGAACTAGACTGCCTTTTTTTTTATTACTGTGTAGTCAACAGTAAGGACGGTTTCTTAGAGACGTGAAAGAGCTCATAGTAATTTATATACATTAAGCTAATGAGGATCCTGCCACATTACCATCAGCTGAAGACGGTGTTGCTGGCACAGTCTCGGTGGACTGCTGGCTGCTGAGAGACGCTCGCGTCCCCACCAGGTCGATCTTTGTGCTGCGACAGGTGTTGGAGCACAGCTTGGAGTGCTGGTAGAAGTCAAGCTCCCCGGAGTCCATGATCTTCCTGCAGGTCAGCCAAGAGAAGGAGTCAACAGTGAAACCAGGAAAGCAAAACAGTTCTGCTAAATAATCTGACACACCCAGCAAAAGACATATATTACAATGAACTGCTGCACCTGGATACTATAAACAAAATGAAATATAAAAGACAGCTAGGGGTGGGCAATATGGTAAAATATAATATCACATAATATCATAATAACACAAAACATTTTCTCAATACGACATGAAATCACAATATTTAGTGTTTCTTAAGTTGGATAAGCTGGAACTGACAAGTAGTGCCACATCAAAAAAGAAAAAAAGATCAAAAACCTTTTTTGGATTTATCAAATACATTACTAAAAATATACTTAGAAACACAGAAAAGCAATGTCACAGTGGGTCAGGATCACTGTGTACTGGTAAAGGCTATTTATCACCCAGTCAAAGATTCATCATGTTTTATGATAGATTTCTCTTTCTCCTTACTAGAGTCCAACCAATATATTATTTGGCTGATAAAATCAGCCAATATAAAGGTTGCATAGAGATATATTAATGCTCAGCATCTGAGAAAAACTTGGTGATAAAACACTTATAATGTCTCTTTAAATGTAATATAAGAAAAACACATTGAGGAATTTGCCCTTGTTTGAGAGTTCAATTTATTTTTGTGTTTTAATGTTATGCTTTAATGTTTAGTTATGAGGTTATTTATAAGTGGATTGTTGTTTTTCATTTATATTATTCAAGTTTATACTGTTTATTTAAGTACAAAATTTGATGATGAGCCACAGTCATAACTGAAAAATCACCCTATCGCTCAGTAAAGCATCAGTAAACTAAAACCACTGGAGTATGTTTAAATTTTAGCCATATAAAATGACATCAGCCGATCATTAGTTATCAGAATTCGGTTTAAGGAGATATAAAATTTTTGCTGACAAAATTTTCTCCTCAGTTGAGCCCTACTATTTACCTAGTTAAAAGACAGAAATATACTGGAAACACAGGTGAAAGCATTGATGGTGCACCAAAATATTAAACTAACAAACATCTTGGGCAGCACCTACCACAAGTATGCTTTGCTGGATACACACAAAAGAATACCCACGTCACACACAATATAGAGTGAAATGAAACCATCTTCTGACGCCTATAACTTATCGACAGAGTCACATACCTTAACATGGTCCCGTTGAGGCGAATCGCCCTCTTCCAGTCTTTCAGAGTGGATTTTCCAGCCAGGTAGACAAACTCTTTTGGACTGATCAGGTGATCATTGAACTGTAACACAAAGCATTACAGCCAGTGAGACTGCTTTATTCAGCTCAGTATGGTCCCACATCCTGACACAGAATAGCAATTTCAGGGGTCATACTCACCAGTCATCTTCATATAACAAGAAAAAACTGTCTTATTTGTCCAAAGCAACTGCTCACCCAAACAGTTTGTTATCCACTATGACAGAAACTGGATTTTTTTTTTGCTAAGGGCTTGTGCTGTTTCACAGTTTTTCTCAGACAACAGAATAATCAAGATTCAGTTTTAATTGAAGCCATACAGATGTTTGTCTTGTAGAACCATACTGAATGATACTGAAGCTGCTTTTTGTCTTGAACACAACACGCTGTTTCTTCTGTACACTTTAACATCCTCTCCTGATCTGTCACAGTTCGCTCAGTGGTTAGAGATCAAAAAAGTGAAAAGTCTTAATTTACCTGTACACATTTGACATTGATGCCAGGGCAGACAAATTTTTTCCACACAAGGTCAGCCTTGCTGTCACCACAGGTTATTTGGTATAGAATGTCAGCCTCCACATCCACGTCTTCTGAAAGCTTCACTGCAGGAGGGATTACACCAGATGACTCAAGACAATCTCCATATTGTGGGCTTAACTATTGTTTTCAAACATTCAGCGTTTTTTTTTTTGGCCTCTGCTATGTTTTCAGCATCGTATTTGTCGCTGTCAAAGAGCTGAGAGAGCTTTGTTTAAAAACAAGTCCTACCAAGAACTGCCTCCTTAGACAGGGAGATGGTGGTGGGACTGGATTCAGACTCCAAGCTCTGCTCTATAATGTCCACCCTGCACAGGCAAACACAGCCACGAACGATTTAGCTAAACGGAGATTAAAGGGACCCAAGTATTGTCAGTGTAATAATGATTCAATCCAGCATCAAAAAGACAACTTAATGACAGCCATTCTCAGAATGCTTGATACGACAAAGCAGTACTGAACAGGGGCTGGCTGCACCAGCTGTATATAAGTTCAGACGTAGGTTAGTTGTTATGCAAGTGTTTATTAAGTTCGGTTTATGTGTTAGTAAATCAAAACAGGTTCCACCACATGAACTATTCTTTACAGAGAGCTTAGCGTCTACTTAATATTTACATCTCCACCTAAACAAGCGTGTTAGAAAAACCAACAGAAACCAAACAGATGGCACAACCTACAAAACATGACTTGATGTTTTTGGTTAACTACATTAAAATACATATGTGCTGTTTTAACATCAAACATTAATTTATCCATAGCTCCAATTCAGTGAGACGCATCAGCTGCCCAAACGTCCAAACTGCTGTTGTGACAGTTAACTGACAGCTAAACAAAAGTTTGAACACCCCAGTCAAATCACGTTTTGTTGATTTTCGAGGTGAAAGTAAGTTTACACATCCACTACAGGGAACAAACATTATTGTGACATATTTCTGCTAATTTTAGTGGACAATTTCTTTTTATGTGTTATTTAAAATGTACCGTATCTTTTGAACAGGACACATTTTATGTTTTTTCCCCTCTCAGTATGTTAAATTCAGCAAATAAACAGTAATTGTGTATTACAGTGTGCAAAAGTGTGTTCTCTCTACCATTTCACTTAGAAAATCGACAAACTGTGTCATTCGCCCAGGGGTTCCCAAACTTTTGCATAAGATTGTGCAGGTGTGGAGGTGGGAAATGCTCATCTAGACATCAGTACTGTTGGTCTCTCATCCAGCTATCGAGTTTTGCTCGACAATAGATGAGAGTGCTGGAAGGGGGATGTGAAAATGATGTGACGACTGGTATACGGTGACAATGAAACCTGATATGGTTTACAGGCAGGCAAAAGAGATTACATTTAGATAGAAGGCTGTGGGAAAACATTAATAAAAACAAGAACAACACAAGACAAGATTTAATATGATAAGTGACAAAAGACCAAGTTAAAGCCTTATGGTTTGATGAATTTGTGTGATAATGTGATCTACACATTAATGGGTTAACGTGTGTCTCTTACTCTGCCTGTTCCAGGGCTGCGGTCTCCAGCATGTTCTTCACCTCTTCTCCCGAAGAACTCGGGTCTGAGCCGTCCGGTGTCGTCACCACCACCACCTCCTCCACGTGGACGTTCACCTCGGAGGATGAGGCCATGGGTGCGGCCGCATGTACACTGGGCCTTTACCTCTCTCTCTCGCTGTCAGGAGCCAAAAGGGGAGATGTAGATTTTCCCTGAGGAAGAACATACAGAGAGTCACTGTGTGCAGAGAGATTAGTTAGGAAGCAGAGAGTTTTAACTGGACAGACTGGGAGCAGTAAGTGGAGGCAGGCTTTGCTGTCAAAGATGACAAGCCAGTATAAAACTGGAGAAAAAAATAGTAATACACAACAGATATTGATCTTGCAATAATTCATTAAGAGGAAGTGACTTCATATATTCTCATTCAATCCAAAACAAAAGAATCAATTAGGCTACATATTTTATGTACACAATACAGAAGTTGTTCACATGTTCCATGTCTGTCAAAATACAAATCCTGTTTGGACTGAAAGAAAGGGATAGTCAATGCAGTGTTACACTGTATAATAATGTTTGTTTATACATTTAGAGAGACACCGCTGGTTCTTAAAAGTTATAGTGATTTCTTGGCTACTAAGACAATAATATTACATACATATTTAAGAAAATGCTATGTTTACATCTGTAGTTCCAGACAAAAGATATCTCTGATGAAAATAAGAATTTAACTGGAAGCATTAGGATTAAAACCTGATGGTTTTGCTTTCTAATCAGAATTGGCTTAATGCTTACCATTACAGACCACTGGTTTCCCGTAGGACACCTTTAGATCCCATTAGCAAACCAGCAAATGCATCTGGAATCAGTCCCAGAACACCTGTTACACCATTAAAACCCTTTACACTGTGATATTAACCCATCAGGAAAAAACAAAAATACCACTACTGACTGTTGGATACCACCAGGAACAAAAGAGAGACTTTTAATGGTTTCTGATTTTTTTCAGCAGAGAAGTAATGCCTTCCCAATGTATGTAAAGTTATCTAACGTGGTTGCTAGAGACATTACTCCTGTATCATCAGCCAGTCAGACAGCCTCTCCTAAAACCAGAGACTTACCAGGTCAGTATTATTAATCCTAAACCCAGACACTACAGCAGCGAATCACACTGCAGTTTAGTTTAAAACTGGGCATAACGCCTGAACAGGAAACTGGCTCATACCGTGTAACACACAGCTTTTGTTAGCATGCTGGCTTATAAATCTGGCGTGTCTAAACTCTAAAGTTTGCCAAATTTGATTGTTTTTTAGCTCGTAAACAGGCAGAAAGCTGAGGAGCAGCAGAGTCAGTAACGGACCGTTTACCCCAGCGAGGCTCCAGGCTTTAGCAAAGAGCTAACTAAAGAGAAAAAACGGCAAATTCATGGGTTTAACCAACAACAGACAACACCTGTGTGGACACAGACTTACTAATTATCCAAAAACGCAAAGTTTCTGCATTATATCCTCCTCTGAGTCTGATATATATGAAGCAGTTTACCTGAACAACTTGAGTTTGTTTAGGAAGCGCGTAACCGGTTGACAGTACTACGCATGCGCAGTAATTCAACGAGCGTGACGTATGTGTTGTGTTTCTGCTACACGCTGAGGGATCAGTCCTGGACCTGGAGATCTACCAGCCAGCAGAGTTTAGCTCCAGCCCTAATCTACTGCACCTGATTCAGGTAATGAAGACTTTCAGGAGCATCTCACTATTACAGCGAGGTGTGTTGGACCTGAAGTGTCCAGGGTGGTAGATCTTCAGGACCAGCACTGAGCACCCCCAGGCTGAACCACATATGGGCTAAACCAGTGTTTCTCAGTCCTGGTTCTGGAGGCCCACTGGCCTGCACATTTTAGAGCTTTTCTTGCCACTTTAAATCAATACTGCGCTGTGTATGAGCGGATTAGTTGGATCAGCCATGTTGGCAACAGGAAAAATACTAAAAAGTGCAGGCCAGTGGGCCTCCAGGACCAGGACTGAGAAACACTGGGCTAAACCATAGATACAGGCTAAACTAGTGTTCCTCAAATCTGGTCTTGGAGGCCCACTGTCCTGCACATTGTAGTGTTTTCCCAGCTCCCAACACACCTGATGTAACTCATCGGCCCATTAGCAGTTAATGTAGGTGTGTTAAAGCAGGAAACGTGCTAAAAAGTGCAGGGCAGTGAGCCTACAGGGCCAGTTTTGAGGAACACTGGCAGGCCATACCACTCACATTCCTTACAATCTGATGTGATGTAAAAAAAAAAAAGAATGGTTAAAGACTCACTCTGGCCAACACAAAAAAATGACCCATCTCTACATTTGATTGTAAACATGCTCACTCACATCCTACTCTAGCCTCAAGTGAGATTTCCCACGCTGCTGAAAAAATGGTGACCAATAACAACTAATAGTATTTTGTGTTTTCCAGATGGGTTGATATCAGTGTACAGGGTTCTAATGGTTTAACAGTCTGATTCCAGATGGATCTGATGGTTTCCTAATGGGATCTAAAGGTGTCCTACAGGAAACAATTCCCATTAGGACCATTAGCAAAGGAAAAAAAATGTCAGGTTAAAACCTAATGGTTTGAAAGGTCTTTTTTCAGCAGGCCAGTTTAAAGACAGTTTAAAGAAATGCATTTAGAATAATTTGCATCAGTGTAGCTACACCAAAAAAGTGAACTGTTTATTGGAGAAATCTAACAGTTACCTGCAGGACTGTAGGAACGTTTTTGTACATACAGTGTGTATCATCATAGGAACTGAAGATTGTTAGGCTCTATTCTTCTTCAAACTATGAATATAACAGTACAAATGCTTAAATTCTAGATATTCTAACGTTGCTGGCCACCTCAGCGTTCAGACGATCACAATGACAATTTAGCTCATTTTATCAACAGTCACAAAACACACAGTGCATTTTGTTTTTTGTTTATTTGATGAAAAACACACATGAAATTCCCACCAGAATACTGTGCCATTGTTATTTCCATTATTGCTGATTTCGGAGCCCAAATTTCACCTTTGCAATAATACTAATTCAGGCCTCCTCTCTCTGATGTGTTAAGGATAGATTATTTTGAAATCTGATGTTCAGAAACATCACTGTGTTGCAGGTACAGTTCATAACCAGCATCTAACATAACCATCGCATATAAAAGTGGTGGGGTAGTGTGTGTGTGTGTGTTTTCTTCAGTCTTCAGGTTTGTCAGCATTAAAAGTGCAGGTTTGCATGATTTGGTCACTTTTCCGCAGTCAGTCTGCAAAAAGAAAGAGAAATTAATTACTACAAGAATGAAAAGAAAACCTTTCAATTCCAGATGTGAATCATCCCATTCTTTTGTGCAGTTAGTCTTGTGTTTTGCTTGCAAATGACACTTGAGACATGATGTTCTTTAGTTATAAACAAATTCACAGCATGACAGTAGCTGGAAATAATTTAGTTTTATCAAGAGAGCCTCACTACCTCACTTCAATAACTTAAAGTGGCACTTTGGCCCAAAAAAAAAAATGTAACCATGGCAACATCGTTAGTAAACATGCCTACTCACTCCTACAGTGGTGCTACAGTAGTCTCTAGAGTGAGACATTCTAGCTTAAAGACTAGAAAAAAACTATTCTGATGATGCATCTTGAAGGTGGAAGAAACTTTTGAAAAATTACAGCTGCTTAGGGGTCGATACTCAAGGGTGGGCTGCTTTTTCCTGCTAATGCAGGCGTATGTCAGATAGCTAATGTTACTGCTAGGAAGCTGCTTATCACATTGATTTATCAGCCTGGATCAGTGACTACACTAGCAGTGAGGATTCCTTTATGGGGGGACTCCTAATGGTCATGTAACATATTTGCGTAATGCATGCTGGGTACTATAGTAAAAAAACACTGAAGGAAGAAAACATCCTGACCTCTGTCAAATCAGTGAGGCTGAGGGCCGTCATGCTGAGCTACAGAATATTACATAACACAACAAATAACAAATGTTTTAGGCCGGAATGCCACTTTAATGTCCCTGCTAGTTTGCTTTGTTTTCCATGTAGTAACTGAACAATAAGTCAAGATTAGGTTAAGATTAAGTTTGTCTGGGAAAAAGAGACGCGGTCACAGAGCAATAATACAAATGAAATGAACAACAGCTTTTGTATTGACCGAAACTGCCAGAGCAACAAATCTTACCTCACTGTTCACGCCAATAAAGGCTTCCTCTCAACCAACGAAATTGATGACAACAAGATGGAGCACGGTGTGAGCAAACAGAAAGTCAGCGAAGGCTCTTTCTGGTGAGATGGATAAGAATTCAGCTTTGTTCTGTGGGTTGATCTGGATTCTCAGGCAAACTGAAAGAGAGGGAACCGAGATAATTGGTAAAGCGTTTTCTTTTAACCCAGCACAATTTCCACAATTCTCTGTTTTTTAAACATACATTTAATTTAATTAGTGCTTTAAATTAAGATGTAGCACAAAATGACCTCTCTTAAGCTTCTACAGAGCATAGAGCTGCACCCAGTGTCAGGTTAAAAATGGGCTTGTATAAAAACACTTAGGCAGCATCACATCATTGGAATATTACACCAATTAAGGATGAGTACGTCAATGTACTCATCAATTTTTTTTTTACCATGCAATTGTTGTTTCCTTTTCAGCTTAATAGCTAGTATTCTGGCAGCATTAGTGTAAGTGAATTATAAAATAATATGTATTCTTATATATTACAATATGTGTAATTTGTATATTTATTATGAGACCTGTTCTTTTAATACTGTAGCACCAAAATATCCCCCTGGGAATGAAGAAAGTACATCCATCTATCTATCGTACTGTCTTATACTTACTAGGTATCAGTCAGAATTTTCGAATATTTAAATAGTCATGAAAGTTTTTAATATTAAATCAGGATTTTGGGCTTTTAGGCTGCTCACTTACGTTACACGCACACACACACATATGAGATGTCTGAACTCTGGGCTCCACAAGAGGGCAGTGTACAGCAGTAGTCACCACCACCTCCTGGAGATCCACTTCCCTGCAGAGTTTAGTTTCAACACGCATTTAACAACATGTCCGGCCTTTTAACTAACACTTATGCATCTGATCTAACCAATCAAAGAGTTCGGAAAAAGCTGATCAGCCTGAGCAGGTGTGGCTGTTTGTAGTTGGAACTGGATTCAACAAGAAAGTAGATCTCCCAGACAAGGGTTTGTGACCACTGGTGCAGCGTCTGTGTCTGACGTTTTGGTCAGAGTTTTTTTATTTGTTTAGTCCAAACAAGGAAACACAGGCCGCATCTCAAAGCCAAGGTTGCAGCTGAGGAAAGCTGCATTTCTAGGCCATTACGTTACTGCAGGCTGTTCCATTTTATAGGATCCTTCAAATGCAGCAAAAAATGGAAGGCAGTGTTTGTCACCCAAAGTCCTTTCCATGCAGCGCAAAACCATTTGAAAAATGACAGTTTGCTGCTGCACCACTGTTTGTAATGAAATGTAAAGAAACACAAAATTTAATTGAATGTTTAAACGTAATATTTAGACGTGTTGCACTGCTTACGTCAGTAAGCCGCGATGTAATAGTACAGCCTGCTCAGACTGTCCGAACTACTGCAGCTGGCTAAAGGCTGCCGCACACTGGAAAAGAAGCTACAGGTTGCACCAGCAGGTTACCTGTAGACTTGGGTGGTGGGGTTGGGATGGATTGGTTGAGGTGGTGTTAAGATCTTCAAATATTTTTGAATAGTACTTTATAAATTTCAGCTCGCTGGTGTCACTCTCTAATCACCTCCACTCTGCCTGCAACTGTTTTACCTGATTTTTTACCATTATTGTCTTATTTTCTTTTTTTTTTATTATTATTTATTTGTTTGTTTGTTTATTATTCATATTCTTGTTCTTATTTTTAATTATGATTATTTTATTATTATTTGTCATTTTAATTAAATTTCAGTTTACTTTTTGATCTTATTCTTCTTTTATTTTATTTTGATTTGATTTTATCAACCTTTACATTATAGCTACATTTGAATTATTGTTTTATATTTTTTTATTGTACTGTTATGTATTTTTATTATTAATGTTTCATTTTTATACTTACCTGATTTGAGTATTTTTTTTATTAAATTTGAATGTCAAATTTGGCTGAAATACCCCTCCTTAATGTTTACCTATAATACTTGTAGTATTACGTGTAGTATCCTATAAAAACTACAGTAACTGTCCCAATTAACTATAAGATACTATAAGATTAATGTAGCATTATTACAAGGTATTTCCAAGTGAAACACACAGGAGGGTCTGTGAGAAAGCTGAGCGTATGATGATTGGTGGGGAGGGTGGGAGGTCGAGGTGAAAAATGATTTGATTGGTTAGTATTTTTTTCTCAGGACAAACACAACGACAAAAGACATTTTAGAGGAGGGCAAAAGTCATTACACAATCAAAGGGGCAAGTAAACGAGAACATTTAAATAATATGATGAGGCTGATTAATATGTAATTATCATTATAGTGATGAATCATGTCACAACATGTCACAACATTGTGGACATGGTCAGTATTTAAAACTTTACAACTGCATGTCTGATTAAGAAGAAAGCATGATTAGTCCTGTTTAGTTGGATTTAATGCAGCACAGTGTGCGAAATGTTGAATGCAAATAACTGGCTTCGCTCCTTCTGTACTGTTCCAACATTTTAGATGTCAGAAATAAATACTGTGACATATTGTGTATCATGAAAACTTCTTGAAGTGATGAATCATGCAGGATGTGATCGGGGACATGGACATGGTTTAGTCAGTTTTGAGATCAGATAGACTTTAACCCACAGGCTGGACACAGAGCACCACAGAAGCTTATGGGAGGCATCTCACTTTAAGTTTCACTAACTAACTAAATAAGAAACTGAATGCTGTTTGATGGCTCATGAAGGCCTACACAGTTAAGAAATATGGTTCTTGAAGGGTTCTTTAGTAAAGGTAATGGTTCTATTTAGAACCATAAGTTCCATATAAACCCATTTCATGCTTAAATGGTTCTTTTCACAGTGAAATGGTGCTTCAGATTGATGGAAAATGTATTGTATATGGATACAGACCCTTTTTGAAAATGGTTCTATATAGCACCAAAAGAGTTCTTCTATTGTTATGATGTCAAGTGTGTAACAACAGAAGAACACATTTTCAAGAAGAACCATATAAAACCCATTCTCCATCAGTCTGAAAAACCATTTCACCATCAAAAGAACCATTTAAGCAAGAAACTGTTCTATATAGAACTATGGTTCTGTATAGAGCCATTCCTTTTACTAAAGAACCCCTGAAAAACCCTCTTTTTAAAGAAAGTATGAGGGGTGATTTTTGAAGGAGGAGGTTTTTGTTTAATATCTTACATTAAGAGCATATATTTCACAAAAAGCCCACCAGGGTCGTTTTTATAAACGCTGAGAGCTGTAAGTACACTGCGCACTGTTCAGCTGGAGGCTGTAACTGGGCTGTTGTTGTGCTGTTGTGGTGCTGTTGTGGTGCTGTTGTTGTGGTGCTGTTGTGTTGTTGCTGTGCTGTTGTGGTGCTGTTGTTGTGCTGTTGTTGTGCTGTTGTGTTGTTGCTGTGCTGTTGTGTTGTTGCTGTGCTGCTGTTGTGCTGTTGTGTTGTTGCTGTGCTGCTGTTGTGTTGTTGCTGTGCTGCTGTTGTGGTGCTGTTTTTGTGCTGTTGTTGTTGTGGTGCTGTTGTTGGGCTGTTGTTGTGTTGCTGTTGTTGTGTTGCTGTTGGGCTGTTGTGTTGCTGTTGTGTTGCTGTTGTTGTGCTATTGTGGTGCTGTTGTGTTGCTGTGCTGTTGTGGTGCTGTTGTTGTGCTGTTGTGGTGCTGTTGTTGTATTGCTGTTGTTGTGGTGCTGTTGTTGTATTGCTGTTGTTGTTGTGCTATTGTTGTGCTGTTGTGGTGCTGTTGTTGTATTGCTGTTGTTGTGGTGCTGTTGTTGTATTGCTGTTGTTGTTGTGCTATTGTTGTGCTGTTGTGGTGCTGTTGTTGTGTTGCTGTTGTTGGGCTGTTGTGGTGCTGTTGTTGGGCTGTTGTGGTGCTGTTGTTGTGCTGTTGTGTTGTGGTGCTGTGGTGGTGCTGTTGTTGTGCTGTTGTTGTTGTGGTGCTGTTGTTGTTGTTGTTGTTGTTATGCTGCTGTTGTTGTTGTTGTGCTGTTGCTGTTGTTGTTGTGGTGCTGTTGTTGTTGTGGTACTGTTGTTGTTGTGGTGCTGTTGTTGTTGTGATGCTGTTGTTGTGGTGCTGTTGTTGTTGTTGTTGTGCTGTTGTTGTTGTTGTTGTTGTTATGCTGTTGTTGTTGTTGTGGTGCTGTTGTTGTTGTTGTGCTGTTGTTGTTGTGGTGCTGTTGTTGTGGTGCTGTTGTTGTTGTTGTGGTGCTGTTGTTGTTGTTGTGGTGCTGTTGTTGTTGTTATGCTGTTGTGGTGCTGTTGTTGTTGTTGTGCTGTTGTGGTGCTGTTGTTGTTGTGGTGCTGTTGTTGTTGTGGTGCTGTTGTGGTGCCCCTGACCTGCCAGGATGAAGGAGCCCACGCAGGAGATGAATCCGGACAGAAAGCTGTTGAAGGGAAACGTTCCGACCAGCAGGCAGTAGAGGAACTGCAGCGCTCCGGTCAGCAGGATATACAGCAGATACGCGTCCACCACCTTCAGCTTAGTGGACGTGCTCGAGTTATACTCCTCCAGAAACCTCGAAATGACCGAGACCACCGAGCTGGACATGCTTTACTCCTTCTTATTTTCGCGGAGGAAAGTTGACGTGTCCGTACGTGCAGCAAAAGCGGGCGTTACAGCGAAAGCGCTCCGCCGCGCTGCTAAGATCAGATAAACAGTTCCACAGGCACTTCTGCAAAGTGGAGCTCACACTGTTTAACGGTTTCTGACCGTCGATCAGCAAAGTTCCTCGACACTAGAGGACAGATTAATATCTGCGATTCTGCTCTGATCGCGGTCTTACTGCGGTAAAGCGGATATCTGCAGCTGATCTGACAGACAGACAGGAGTTATCGCTGGTCAGGGTGAAGTAAATTTGAGGAATCGAGAGAAAAGGAGGTATCGGTAGTCGAGTTAAACGAGCCTCTTCATGCTCGACACGGCTGTGGGCTCGGGGTTCTGTCCTTCAGCGCCATGCAGGAGGAGGGAGAGAGCGACGGGAGGTGAGTCCGCTCAGTGTCGACCAGACCGTTACGACCACGTTATAAACTCGACGGACCACAGCAGCTGATCAGCGGTCATGAGACCTGCGGGGTGATGTTGGAAACAAAAGGACGAGGATGTTTTTCTCTTAACTTTCTCTCTTTCTTTCTTTTTTATTTTTCCTCTCTTTCTTTTTTCTCTCCTCTTTTTCTCTCGTTTTGTCTCTCCTCGCTTTTCGATCTCTCTTTCTCTCCTATCTTTATCATCTTTCTATCTTTAATTCAATTCTATTCAAGATGCTTTACTGGCATGACAAATATGCTACATTTGTATTGCCAAAGCTTGCCAGAGATTTCTAAACAGAAATCAATGATTTAAGGTGAACATTAGATAAAAAAAAACGAAAAAAAACCTTTCATCTTAACATGTTAAACATTGCAAAATTGCTAAGTTGTAGAGCTGTAATTTTAAAAAGACAGGATACAATAAAAATAGAACAATAATCAATACATGAAAAACAAACGTGTATTCGTGCGTGCGTGTATATATATATGTGTGTGTGTGTGTGTGTGTGTGTGTGTGTGTATGTATGAGACAGAGCTGTCTCTGTTTTATTCAGTTCACATTGCTGGCATGTTCTTTTTTCCTGAGGCAGCCAGGATCTCCTGTGCCTGCCGGTCTCGACAGCCAGACTATGCTGACTGAGTCTGTACCTCGTCAGGGTGGTCCTCAGTCTCAGATCAGTCACTGTGCTCAGGTACTCTGCCACAGTGTACTGTCTTTTTAGGGCCAGATAACACTGCATTTTACTTTGTGATTTTGTTTGAGTTTCCCAATAGTCTCTGTATTTTTCTCTCAGATGTTCTGTAATTTGGTTGATTCTGATCAGATTGGTTGTGTTTTTCTGGTCCTGAGTCTGTTGAGTGTTAGTGAGTGTTAGCGTGTGTGAGTGTGTGTTAGTGAGTGTTAGTGTGTAGTTCAGGACCAGCTGAGTGAGGGGGCTGTTGTCTTTGCTCAACTCCTGGTACTGCAGAGCTTTATAATGATATGAGTGGGGATCGCTATTTTTCAGGTGCATCCAAAATTTGATTGCCCTTTTTTGTATTTTTATAATGAATGGTTATTGACCTAATTCTGCTCTGCATGCATTGTTGGTGGTGTTTCTGTGTACTTTTAAAATGTTTTTGCAAAATTCTGCATGCAGAGTCTTAATTGGATGTTTGTCCAATTTCTCTCTCTCTCTCTCTCTCTCTCTCTCTCTCTCTCTCTCTCTCTCTCTCTGTCTCTCTCTCTCTCTCTCTCTCTCTCTGTCTCTCCAAAATCAATTCAGTTCAGGATGCTTTAATGGCATTATTTATAATAGTGCATTTGTTTTGCTAAAGCTTACTGCTTAAATGCTCTCTCTCTCTCCTTCTCTCTCTCTCTCTCTCTCTCTCTCTCTCTCTCTCTCTCTCTCTCTCTCTCTCTCTCTCAGGGTGTCAGGATGGGGTTGGTGGCCCTCTTGGCGTCCTACATCTCTGTCCCTCCTGAAGCACACAGAGACAAAAATACTGGATCGTAAGTAGATACATAGTTCATGTGACTCTTACTTGTTATTTTTCATTCCGACATTCTGCATCCCATCATGCTGAGTTCACACACCTGTCTCACTCCGACAGGTGTTCAGAATGACCTGTGGGCTCGATTCGTCTCACTGCCCACTCAGGACCGAATCTGGACTCTGACCATAACCCATAAAAGTCTCAGGGAAGCTCCAAAACCATGTAAGGCTTCTTCTGCCAATGTTCTGTCTGTATTTACTGTGGAAGGGGAATCCCAGCCAGCGTCAGAATTCCAGCTTAACTCAGCAGTTAAGAGATAAACAAAGTCATTCAGAGTGGTTTGATAAGAAGCGCTTCATTCGGGAAAAACTTACCGAGTCAGGATTGTTCACAGTGGAGGGGATGGGAGCCTCTAAAATGCCTCTAAAAGCTCCCTCACAGAAAGTTATTACAAGAAATGGTTACAGAAGTTGCTACAAATGCATCTGCTGATGGTGGACTGGTACCTACAGGTGCTACGATGCATCGATGCATCATTTCACATCAGACCCCTCGGAATGAAAGTCAGCGAATGATGACAAGACGATTTTATTAGGAGTGTTTTGATTCTTGTCATCCTTCAGTGTAAAGAGGGTAAAAAAGGTTAAATTGATAAAGAGTCACTATTCTGCAGTTTATTTTATTTTTTTTGTTTATTTATTGCCAGTGTCGCCTTTTGTATTCAATAATATTTAAATACTAATCCCTCCCAACTAGACTAGTCCTATTTATCTAACTGGGACTATTCAAAGTCTTATATCTCACGCACTTGTATTTTTAAGTTGTCCGTATTAGATTTCTGTAAAACATGAGTCAAAAACATTCAGTAGTTTTCTTCCTCAAGGCGCTGTGTGACTCACAGACTGACAGTCTCATGACTTTTGATACTGTAGCTGAAGGTTTGCGCCAGGAAATGCTTCCTGTTTGTTACTGAAGTGTTTGATCTTAGCTTTGAAGACTGTAAAACATGAACGACAACAATCTCATCGCCTCGTCTGATTTAACGAACGCTCTTCGCAAATATTTAGTGCAAAACGAGCAGCACAAATCAATGCAAGATTTTTTTAGATCAAGCAGATTTTCACTGTTCATAGTGAATCGGTGGTTAAGGGGGAATAATAAAGATATAAACAAAGTCATTTAGAGTGCTCTAATGTAAAATGTGCCATTCTAGAGAAACAAGTCAGAATTGGTCAGACGTCAGAAGAGTTTAAGGCCTTTAAAATCTCGCCGAAAGCTTTTACTTGAAATGGTGACCGAAACCGTGTTTTACGATAGTTTTAAGTTTTCGGCCTTAAACATTTTTTTAAAAATGCATTCATGACAGAGAGGTACTTGCAGGATGTTGTAAGACAAAGAAAATGTGATTTTCATCAACATACATATAAACTCATAGAAGACACGTTTAGGTTCACTTGAGGTTTTCAATAGTAAATAAAATGGCTATATTTGCGTTGAGGACATTATGACTCCTGGTTCCTATCACTACCACTGTAAAGACATCTGAGTCTGCAAGTTTCTCTACAATGAAGCATTTGACATCAAACCACTCTGATTGTCTTTGTTTACATTTCAATGACGGAATTATGCAGAAATTATAAGAAATCATTGGAGTTCCCCTTTAAGGCCTCCCTTGGTGCAAACAAAACATTTAGTCTCTAGGAGGACATCAACAGTCCTGCTGTCTGCCTGACAAACGAAGCAATGTAAGCAAAACTATCAGCAAAACATCGACTTTACTTGAATATCCAAATGCAGACTGTTGACTCTTTTGGTTTTTTAACTCGGAACAACTTTTTACACTGTATCCTGTCAGTCATGTGACAAAGACCAGAAACATCTGTGACCCATGAATGATCAGAATTGATCAGAGTTGGAGAGTGAACTGAAGACAATGGTGTTCTCCCTCTTGCAGCGTCTCGGACTCCGCTGGTGATGGTGCATGGTTTTGGTGGAGGGGTGGGTTTGTGGATCAGGAATCTGGACCCTCTGTGCCGATCTCGGCCCGTCTTCGCCTTTGACCTGCTGGGCTTCGGACGCAGCTCACGCCCTCGTTTCCCTCTGGACCCCGTCCAGGCCGAGCAGCAGTCAGTCATCTCAATAGAACACTGGAGGCGGGCCCTGGGCCTGGAGAACATGATCCTATTGGGTCACAGTTTGGGCGGTTACCTGGCAACATCCTATGCCATACAGTACCCTGAGAGGTGAGGAGATTGAGGCCTTCTGTGTAGAGACTGTGCTCAGGTACTAATGCAGATGTTCGTCGTGGTTCATCCTGTGCAGAAGCGATATTATGTCTGTATTACAGTCTTATGTCAGACTAACCACTAGAGGGCAGTACATACTGAGTAATAGGTCAGTATAGAGTAAGTGATATAGGTGTGACACTCAGCCATTGGTGCAACAAGAAAGTGAAATGTGGGAGCATACAGTTCTTACTGTAATGCAGTGCAAAATATGTTAACTGTAGAAATGAACCAGTATGAGAATTGTGGGCTCATGCTGATATCCAATATTTCTCATGTATGAAAAGGTGCTAAAATCAATATATATAAAATAGACCACAAATGTAATGTAATGATATTTCAGGCTTAAACAAAGTAGTAAGCTGCATATTTTTATTTTTACACTGCGTTTTGGAACCAAAAACAAGTTTTCTTTAGGAATACAATTTTTTAAACAGTTCCAAAAGTATTGGCACCACGTTATTAGTATATGGTAACACCTCAAGAATAACAGCAGTCTGTAGTGCTTTACAAGCAGTGGTCCAAGTGTTCTCTTGTTGCAGCATTACAGACCACTCCTCCATGCGGAACATTTCCAGTTCCTGGATATTCTCAGGTCTCTGCTTTTGGGATGTTATCTTGAGGTTTTCATTAGGGTTCAAATCTGGAGACTGAGAGGGCCATTGCAAAACTCTGATTATGTTTTCCTGCAACCATTTCTGGGTGGATTTTGATGTGTGTTTGGGGTCATTATCTTGTTGAAAAATCCACCCACGACCAAGTTGGAACAGGCAGACAGATTTGGGCTAAAATCTCCTGGTATTTAGCAGTGTTCATTATGCCAGTGATTTTCACAACAATTTCACAACTGCTGGACTCCTAGCAGAAAAACAGCCCCAAAGCATCAGTGATCCACTACAATATTTGACAGTGGTGCTTTTAATCATATGCAGTCCTTTTTTTCATCAAACGTAATGATGGTGTGCGTCACCAAAAAGTTCAAGTTTTGTCTCATTTGATCTCATCACACAGTTTCATTTGTAAGTTCAATGATACTTTGCAAAATTCAGGTGCTGCATTTTGTGGCTTGTTCTAAAAAGCCCCTGCTGATGGAAGTTAAGTCTGACAGTGGATTTTGATACTTGGAAACCACAAGATTAAAATTTTGCAGTTCTGAAACTGTGATCTTCGGGTTTCTCTTTGCCTTCTCGCTGTACACAGCAGCAGTATGCTCGCGCATCTTCTTTTTGGCAAATTTTCAACTGTTCCATGCTTTTCAAACTTTTTCTATACTAATTTATTTACAGCCTTTTCTTAATGTGTGCAGGTCCACAACAGCTCTTTGCTTTTACTCGTGCTGATGGATGACAAAGGAATGTTACGTGTGTGACCTCATATTTACACCCTGAAAAAACAGAGACTAGGCACAATAAAAAAGTTTGTTTTCCCAAAAGATGTAAATTTCTTTGATTTTATTTAAAATATTTTTAGGGGTTGCCAATCATTTTTTTTTGAGAGAATACTCTGTTCTTAAATCAAAACTCTTGTAGGAATGAGTTCTGTTAGATAAGTGGAAAGCAGTTTATCCAAACATTTTTGAGGAACATGTCAATCATTATAAAATCAGTAAAACCACTTACAGCTAAATAGCATGCACACTATCATTTACTTATCTGTTTCTCTCTGTCCCAGAGTTCGTCACCTGATCCTTGTGGACCCCTGGGGTTTCTCACCTATGCCTGCAGAAGGGATGTCCAAGCTGGGCTGCCCGCGCTGGGTGGAGGGGCTCATAGCCGTGGCCTCCTTCTTCAACCCTCTGGCTGTGATCCGTGTCGCAGGGCCGTGGGGTAAGAGGCAGTGAGAGTGGATGGGGCTGTAGTTCGTTTGGATGAAAGAGTTTCACTAGGGCTCGACTGATAAGAAAAAATGATCACAAATACCGATTTAAAATTCAAATAACCAACAATACCCAAAAACTGAAAATTAAACAATATCCGAAAACTATAAATAAACAAGATCCAAAAATGAAACAGACTACAGTCATTTTAGCTGATGCTTCACTGACTGGTATGATTATCAGTCAGATGTGATTGTCAGTTTATTCCATATGGCCAGACATAGCCCTGTGTTCACTAAGTGAGTTATTAGCACCTAACATAATAAGGAATTACATTATCTGACAATATGACATCTGTCTTTCTTCTTCTCACCTTCTCACAGGGCCTAAGTTAATCAGTCGTGTTCGGCCAGACTTCAAGAAGAACTTTGAGGAGCTTTTTGATGATGACACCATTATGGATTACGTCTATCACTGCAATGCACAAACTCCCAGGTACAGTTCAGCTGATTACAGTGATTCTGCTCACACTGTAGATCACTGCATCATACATTACCAACGATGCAGGTTTAGTTTTTTATCTTAATGTGACAAGCCACTTTTTTATATGTTTTTATCTGTCACTTCTAATCTCTGCACCTCTTTCTGTCTCTGTGTCTCTCTCTGTCTCTCTCAGTGGAGAGGTGGCTTTCAGAGCTATGTCTAATTCACTGCTCTGGGCGAAGAGGCCTATGCTGGACCGGGTTCACCTCTTGCCTCCTGACCTTCCAGTGACTCTGGTGTATGGAGGGCAGTCATGGATGGACAGCAAAACAGGAGAGAAAGTGGCTCAGCTTAGACCTAACAGCTGCACTCGCACAGTGGTGAGAGAGAAAGAGAGAGATGCTAATGAGGGGAATGCAGTCATTGCTGTTGGAGCAAAACTCTGTACCCCCATTTTTGTAGTTTTCCATTTTTTGAGTCAATCAATGTAAGTCAGTGGAACCAGACTTTTCACCAAGTCTTTTCAGGTCATTTCTTCTGGTCTATGCATCATGAAATTTTGACACAATGTAAAGGGCAAGAGGCACTTTCAAATGACATCAAGAACTGAAAAAGGACAAAAATGGAGATATACACACACACACACACACACACACACACATATATATTTATATATATATATATGTGTGTGTGTGTGTGTGTGTATATTGTGTCCTGGAAAAATCTGACAAAAATATCATAAATAGTTTGGCTCAAATAACACACAAAACATTTTTTTAGCGTGTTCTGGCTCCTTTTTTTCTTTCTCGTTTATTTTTCAGTCTGTGAACTGTTACCTCCTCTTCTATAATGTCTCTGGATGCACTCAGGATGAGTTGTGTGATGTCAAGCATTATAGATTTTTTTTTTTTTTATTTTAGAACATTACTATAAATGTTTTTTTTACTAAAAGTACTTCAAAAATAAAATTTAAAGAAAAATAAGAAGCTAAAGTAGAAGCTGTTAAAACAAATTTGTTCTCTCATTGGCTGAGGAATTAGATTAGGCAACTTTCTGGTGGTTTGCAGGCCAGCTCTGGCTCACAGGCCCCAATTTGATGTTGCATAATTCACGCCCTTTAAACTCAACAGTTTAATACTGAATTCTGTTTCTTTCTCTCAGGTGGTGGAAGGAGCTCCTCATCATCTTTATGTTGATAAGTCTGAAGCTTTCAATGCTCTGGTGCAGAGCATCTGTGACGCAGTGGACTGAATCATGATTGTAAATGTGTGCGCTTGTACAAAAGAGAGAGTTTATTTCCAATACTGGGCTACAAAATTCACTTTTTAAATAAATAGTTTCATAAAATGTTTTTCACATTAATTATTAATTATTGTGTCCTGCAATGGACTTGCGATTTGTCCAGCGTGCATCCTGCCTTCCGCCAGGGATAGGCTCCAGCAGGACCCAGAAGGATAAGCAGTTTAGAAAATGTGTGTGTGTGTGTGTGTGTGTGTGTGTGTGTGTGTGTTTGTTAATTATTGTTGGAATTGTAGGCACATGGTAGGACTTCAAGAGTGCAATAACTACTGTTTTCTTAAAACTGGATTTGGAGGTCAGTGTACATTAAAAAATAGAAGTGTTCAAAGCGACATGCTAACGCTCCTCTAATGCAAATAAATGTTTTTACTAAATGTTGCAACTGTCAGCCATCATTAAAGTGTTTTTTCATTAAATTGTTTGTTGTTTTGCATGTTTATTTGCTGATACATAATGGCAGGAATACTGAGAGTATCAAAATTTGTGTGCAAACAGTAATCCTATGAAAGGATTAAGACTGATTTTTAACTAAAGCAGGATTTTTAAAGGAGGGACCATATCGTACTTGCTTAAGCAGGTTTATGAACCAAAAACAGTGATAATTCTTCTTTCTTCATGCTTTAGAATTGAACAGGCTTTTTGGGTTACTGTGCCTTTAAGACTGATATGTAAATGAGCTCTGTTCTGATTGCCCTGTATTCAATAAGCAGCGCACACTGAAACAGTCCTTATAGCTTCAAAACAATAGGGTGAGCTTAACTCCTCTAAGATAAATAAGGGGGTGCATGTAAATGTATTGCTTTTTGTGACATCACAAAAATTACGAATTCAAAATTAGCTGTTTTTGCGACTCAGTTTACATATAAATGATATGTTTTGAAACGTTGACACTGTTTATGTACTACATCCAACAAACAATGATAAAAACGGGGTTTTCCATGGTATGGGCCCTTTAATTTCTATTTCCAAGTATTACATTTTTCTCACATTTAAAACAGCAGTGTTCTCAGATATACAAACAAATGAAATATGAAATACTTTTTACAAAACTCTTGAAATATTTAGTCGTGATTCCTTTGTATAAATAATAAATCAGTTAACAATGTTAAAACATAAATAGGATAAATAAACATTCTAGACAGTAACTGATAGGTGCATTATCACAGGTAAACACGGGCTCTTAGAACAGCACATATCTGAACATATGGGATCGTCTATTAAAAGGCAGGTCAGTGAGGCTCTGTTGCTACATGTTATAATCAGCTTGATGTGGTCATGTCAGGTGCAGTGAGATCCTTCATAGCGAGAGTCCTGATGCTAATTTCAGTTGTAAAAGCAGCTCAAGTATATCAGCGGCCTTGATATTAGCATTAGCATAGCGTTAGCTATGTTTTGGACTCAAACCACTGCATAAAGGGGATTAACAGATGGTACAAACTAGTCTTGACATAAAGTTTGGGTTTAACAAATAGGAGTCAGATAAAATGTTCTACTGAAATGCACTGAGGCTTTAGTTCCGCTTGCGGTTGTTAGTACTGTGTCATTTCCTTATTGTAGTCCTGGGCGAATTACAAGCTGACTGAGTGCATTATAGGTGTGAGTACAAGTCCTGCTGCGGTTTTCACTTCTCCTTGACAACAATATCTGCGACGCCATGAACTTGTGTGAGCTGCTGGCAGTCCAGAGAAGCTAGAAGTTTCCGTGGGCCGGGCAGGGTGGGAATGAACTTCTCCGTCATGGTGACTGTAGCATGACTGGCCACATCGCTAAGAGAGAAGGAGAGATCACGTCACCGTCAAACACAAATATTCATAATTTGCGCATCACATGTGGGAAAAAACTGTGAAACTGGATAAGAACATGGATTAGAGCTGATGAGATGAATATAAGAGTGTTCTCCTTGGTTAAAGTCTACTGTTTTATCCATCCAAAGCACGTCTCAACCCTGAACATAGTGTTTTTTTGTTATGGATGATTATCAGCATCAGTACTGGTCAGAAAATGGCTGCAGGGCTTTCGACAAGTGCTGTAATTGAGTACAACAGCACCATCGTCTGGACAAAAAGCTGCTTAATAGTCAGTTAAAGGAATAGTTTGACCATAGATTTACACAAATTTCTCTCTTCAATCAGCCAAGACTGTGTTTGGTGTCCGAAGTTTGCTGCTTTACCTTTGCACTGGAGCTACAAGGCTAACATAGCTAACAGGTAACTGAGTGTAAATATGTCGCTGCACCAATTAGCATCCAAACTACATGCCTACATTGGCTGGGTAACAGATGCAGCCATCTTGAAGCCTTTCCTCATTTTTTTGCTAAGCTAAAGAAGCAAACTTTGGATAACAAACATCAAACTGCTTTGAAAAATTGGTGGAATTCCTTGTTAAATTCATAGTTTGGCAGATTTACACACCTGTCATCCCAAATGTAGTTGATCGGCATCAGTAATTAATCGGAATAGAAAAACAGTTTTAATTTTTTTTTTTTTTTTGCTTGAGTAAATCGCTAAGATGTAACCAGAAGACATTCAGAGTGGTTTCATTTTGAAACGTGACCCTGCTAGAAAAACCAGCATAGACCAGCATCGCTATTCAACAGAAAAAACAGCATATGTTGTGTTTTGATGCTGGTCAACCAACACGACCATGCTGGGGTGACAAGCTAAACTAGAACCAGACCAGCACAAACCAGCTTACACCAGCATGAAATGCTTGCTGCGCTGAATTGTTCACAGTTGTGGTGATAGAAACCAGATGTCTGAAGTGTTTAATACATCTAAAAGCTCCCTCACCAGAAGTTATCACATGAAATGGTTTGGTATACTCTGCCTGATGTCTTGGACATTGTTTAGTGCTATTCATGGTGGAGAGGTACATGCAGGGCTTTACGAGGAATAGGCCCTGAAGAAAACTTTACTTTGCACCAGGTTCACTGGTGGTAATGGGAGTTACATAAAATAGTTATGTTTGTGTTGTTGACATTGTGACCCCTGGTTTCTATCAGGACCACTGTAAAGAAATTCGAGTCAGTTAAGCTTCTCTGCAGTCTTATCACTATGAATGACGTTGTTTATGTCTCAGTGATTGAATTCCGGAGAAAAACTGGTAGAATTTCCCATTTAAGTCAGTTAAAGGTCCAATAAGAGCAGAGTGTATCTTACCCATAGGAGATCTCTCTGACGTTCTGCAAGCCCAGACCCTCAATGCGGAACTTCACGTTCTTCAGCATGCGTGGCAGGGGGTTCTTAAACACAAATTTAGCTGCCATCTCTTTCCCCACCACAGCGTCCCCTAAAGGCTGTAATCACATAAACAACACAGTTTCAGTCAGCTCAACGGGCAGGCCCTTTTGACCCAGCAGTAGCAGCTAGTTAAATCGCAAACTCATGTTAGATAAGTATCTAAATATGAAAAGACAAAGCCCTGGATTATGATTTGTGGTTACGGAGTGCATTGCACAGGGGCAATTACATATTTATATATTTAAAAATCATATTTAAAAATCAACATTTTTTCCCATGTCTACAAAACAGCCCTTCAGTGTCTGGAAAGCCTGGTTGGTTGGTTGGTTTACAAATGTGTCTACACCTCCTTGCCACAGTGATAAAACATAAGTTTACTTCCTCTGTGAAAACAAACGGACTGAAAACGGCAGCATGGTGCTAATTTGCAGTATGCTAAGGCAGCTGGGTCTGTAGGGAAGGAGAAAAAAGAGTGAGGCAGTTAAGGACTTACAGTGATTATAATGTCTGGCGTGCGAAGTCGGAAGTTGAACTGAGTGGCCAGAACCTGGTTGGTCTGAGTGACCCGTCCAGCCAGGGTGAGCATCAGCGCTGCCTGGTCCACCAGCTGGTCCTTATAGTGAGCATACTCAAGAGTCCACTCCATGGTCTGGACTATAGAGGGGTAAAGAGAGAGAGGCTTAGAGACTAGGAAAGGCCCTGAGAAAGTCTACATTAGTGAGGCACAGTATGCTAATGTGTTAATTATATTAAAGCAACATGCTTTACAATATACTAACCCCTTAAACAACTAAAATACTAGGGCTTATTATTCAGTAATTACAGGGACATCCATGCAAACTAGTTGAGCTATTCTAAGGTTATAAAACTTTGGGCATTGGCGAGCGATGTGCTTCGGTTAAAGGTTGGCCTGCATTATTTTGACCAAAACTTTTGTTGGATTACATGAATGCTTGCTTCATCAGTGCACCCACAGAAAATCTGGAGTGAGTGATGAAGGGGTCATGTCCCTACCAATGTTTAGAGGGGAGTGAACTGTCCTTCCTGACAATTCCCACTTAATGCAACCTTGTGACTTTGCGTTTTAACAGAGTGTTGTCATTGTTTTAGGTTGTTAATGTTGGGAACTGGACTTCTTGACAGGTCTTTAAGCACTTGGGCACCATAAATGCATAGGAAACACAGTCCGTATAGTCCACAACATGTTTTACAGCTAACCATCAACCGCACTACATGCATCCTTTAGGCTAACATTAGCTAGCCATATGCCATCTTTTTATGGTTGTGAATTGCAAATGATTTTGATAAACTGAAATCCCAGAGCAGCCAGCTGGTTGGCTAGGTGTAGCTTGGCTGTTATCAATAAGCTACCTAGTGCACAAACTGCAGACTCTGTGCTTGAGAGTGTTTGAGAGTGTTCAGTTTTTAGACTTTCTGTGCGGTGCACTTTCAACTCAAGTTATATGTTCATATGTTGATATAAAGTTTGGGAGGGTGGATTGGAGGTTGGGGAGAAACAGAAATGGATCTGAGGGCCAGACTCTCACCTTCATTGGGTTTGAGCTCTACCAGCACGTCATCTTTCTTCACCGTGGCCTTGAGAACTCCAGTGTAGTACATGACTGCCACCTGGCTATGGAGGACGGTACTGCGTGGCTCCGAGCTGTTGTTTTTCAGAACGATGGACAGCTCGGCGTCTTCGCCCATACGTGGCCCCTGGCCTTCCATACTGACCTCTACAGTCACGTCCTTGGAGCCTGCGATAGCGTAGGTGTCAGGTTTGGAGCCGTAGCGAGAGGCTGTTTCCACGGCGATCCGCTCCTCTTCGGAGCCTATAGTGGACAGTGCGAAGATGAGAGATTTAAAACCCAGGAGCATAAAGCTTCAAATGCACCAATCCTACTCAGGCTTGGATGAACAGATTTGTTGGCCTTTGGCCAAGCAGGTTATCTAAGCTACAAGTTCTTCTTCTATGCAGATACTTATAAATATACTTATATTTAAGTGTATATTTACATATATGGCATATTATGATGTATAGGTACTTACATATACGGAATACATATGGGATATATATAGCACATGTTATTATTACATATAGTTAATCATTAAGCTTTTAATGCGGCATTGATGGCTTCAAACAGCTAAAAAACAATGCCAGGCAATATACATAAATA